GCTCAGGATGCAGTGGCGGAACCTTGGCCTTTTTAAGCTAAGGTCTTTAACAGGTCTCAGTTTGACTGAGTTTGACTGCCCAATCAGTGATTAAGGCTAGGTAAGAAATGAGGCAGAGAATGGCCTCTTTTACCTAGTCAAAAAAAAAAAAAAAATCAATCTGGGAAGGGAAAACCCTCAGGGTTTCTGGGCAAAACAGAAACAATCGCTATTTACATTCATTCTGAGACAATCAGGGCCCAAACAATGACCAAGTAGGGTTTGGCCTGGGACCTGTTGTTGGCCAATCAATGAGAGCCAATGGGCTTTGTATACTAGCTCTTAGCATAGTGCCTGGCATCATGCTTACAACAATCAATGAAGGGTGTTATCTTCTCTATAACTTCTTGGGACACTGAGAGATGCACAGATCTGCACCCAGGGCCATCATACAGGCAGTACTGTAATGGGTGGGGGTGGGGGGGGCGCAGGGAGGAGGGGAACCTCCGGCAAGCCACCTAAAAGCCCTGCAAGAGGGGAAGCCGGAATCAGCCATGATAACATTAGTGTAATGGGATATGAGAATGCATTTAAGAATGATAAGCAGGAGAAATATAAGGAAATAAGGAAAAACCTTTATTAAATAATGCAAAGCAAAAACGAATGGCAAACCAAAACATAGTAACTATGGTCAAAAGAGAGGAAAAGGGCAAGTGACTGGATGGGCAAACAAGCATCTTGTCAGAGACTTGGAAACAACTGAAAAGCTGTCAGGACATTTTATGGGCTGAATTTCATTGATGTGATGGAAACAGCTGCAAACAACTTGTAACTGAGAGCACTTAGATCCAATATTATTTAGAATGTATATGTGTGTATATGTCTAATACATATATATAAAAGTTCTACACACACACACACACACACACACACACACACACACACACATACACACACGCACCCCATTAGCATCACCAACTGGAAATTGAATCTGCAGTCATGACTCACTGGAGTAGCTACCAAACGATTCTGCGCAGGAACCAACAAGCCTGGACGTAAAGTGGCCGGCCATAAAAGTTCAGCTGCTCAGGGGCCAAGGCCAAGTGCAGCACAAAAGGCAGACTGTCCTTCTCCAGTATCACATAAATGCGGCCCTTTACAGGGAGTCTCTGTTCATCCTTTGGGGGTGACTCTGTTGGAGGGGAAGTTTTCCCTTCTATCCAGCCTTCACTGGTCTCTCTCCAACCTCTGCCCACCTCACCACTGTCTGGTGGACCTCACACTTAGAACATTTGCCCCAAAGTCCTCGACTGCCCCCTCTAATGACAGGGGTCATTATAATGGTGGGGTGCCATGCAATGGATTCATGGCATTAGGCCGGACCTCTCTCATCTGTAAAGGAAAGGAAAAGGTTCCTCAGATTTTCCAAAAAGGGAAGATAATGGAAACTGTCAACCAGGGAGCTACTAACCTGACTGTTTCCTGGGAAAATCCTCGAGGCCCTGCTTCAAAGTGCCAGTCTGGCTTCATCCACAACATACCTGAGCAGACTCGCCTCTCCCCCTTGCTGGAAGGTTACAGGTGGGCAGATTCAGAGAACACTCTGCGGGCCTGGCTATCGCCAAGGCAACAGAAAAAAGATGGCAAGATGGGGGCTGGAGGACAGGCTGACGACGCATCTGGCTCTTGGTCAAAGATTGGGATCCAAAGACCAGGCCTGGTGGCTCATGGTCACTCGGCAGTCGGTCTCCAGTGCGGGCCAGCTTCCTCTCTGCTGGTTAAGCCTCAAGCGGTGATTCGGGTAAAGGCAGAGAAGACAAGCTTATCTATGTCACAGATGATAACAAAGTGTATATTTCCTATTTATCCTGTATAGAGCTTGCTTTGTATATATTTGTTTGCACGTTGTCTTCCCTATTAGATTGTAAGCTCCTTGAAGGCAGGGACACACTTTTGCCTCTTTGTTTTTACCTCGGGCACTTAGCGAGATCCCTGACACATATAAGGCACTCAATATCTGTTTATTAGCTGATAGACTGATCTTGAAGACAGGGCTAAGAGGACAGGAGCAACCATAGGTCACGTGACCCCTCTGTTTGCTAGGGACATGTGAAATTCAACCCCGGGCCCTGCCTACGAAATTCTAGTTTCCTGCATCCTCTTTGACTTAGCAATCCCAGTACTAGGTCTGCATCCCAAAAGAGATAAAAACCAACAAGGAAAAGGACCCACACGGACAAAAATATTTACAGCAGCTCTTCTCTGGGGGCAAAGAAGTAGAAAGTGAGGGGACGCCCATCCACTGGGGAATGGCTGACCAAGCCGTGGTCTGTGATTATGATGGAACACCATCGTGCTGTGAGAAATGATGAACTCAGGAGGCTCTCAGAAAGCCCTGGAGAGACTACGGCAGGCTGACACAAAGTGAAGCGTACCGGGCGCACAGGACACAGCCACGTTGTGAGATGACCAGCTGGGGGTGACTTAGCTCTTCTCAGCAATACAACGCTCTAAGACAGCTCTGAAGAACTTAGGATGAAAAAATGCCATCCATCCCCAGACAGAGGACTGATGGCTTGGTTTTTTTTACTTTTTCTTGAGGTTTTTTGGTCTATGTTTTCTTTCACAACATGACTGGGGAAAATGAATTAATTTTAAGTAAAAAATAAAGTAAAGTAAAAAAACTCTAGTTTCAACGAGTGGTTTCGCCCCTTCCTTTGACACCTGGTGATTCAAGTCATTGTATTAGTGTGAGCTATGATTTCCCTCCCCCCAGCACAGGCTCAGGAGTGCACTGTGGGGTGCAGCTACTTGCCCAGCATCACCTAATCAGTAGATTCCCCAAAGACAATGGCAGTGGCGCCGAAGCCCAGAGCAGAATCCGTCATCGACGAATACTCCAAAACGACCATCTACAGATGTTATGCCCTTCACGCTTATTAAGTGCTTGACCAAAGCTCATGGCGCTCTGAGCATCTCCTGCACACGCCTGTTCAAAGCCCCCTTCCCTTCAGAGCTCATCGCTTCACCCCCCAGCCAAAGAGTGCTCGAGGTGCCCCAAAACCCCACAGGAGGAGTCCTCACCACAAAGGCATGTCTGGAGAGCACGGAACCTGAACCTGAAGTCAGGATGAGGAGAACGGGAATCTCCACACCGAACTTTGGTGACATGTCCAAAGGAACCCTCAGCAGGCCCGGCTTGTAGGCTGGCCACACCATGTGATCAATCTCTCAATCTCACCAGCGGAGAGGTCAGCAGACTGAAAGTTCTCCTTGGTTTCTTTCTCTTTTCTTTAAAGGAGGGATAAGGTAAGGAGGGAGAAAGGGATAGATGCATCTAAGGAAGCACGGGTTTGAGTCCCTTCAAAGGCAATCAGCAGGAAAGGGCAGAGGCCGCAGCTTGTGCCATTAACGAGGAGGGCCGATGGCGGGGGGACATTCAGACACAAGGCTTGCTTCTGGAAGCACCTAGCGCTGCCTGGCCAGCACAGGGCCTGACACACAGTAGGTGTTCAGTTCATGCTAGAATTGGCACTGAAATAAACTAAAAACAGAGGGAGTGGGTGGAACTGCTGAAATGATGCTCAGGAAGAAAATCCACAAAGCCTCAGCTGAGGCAGATGCTGGAGCCTGGGGCCTGGTCAAGGAGATGACACACTCTGACCCCAGAGCACGAGCAAGTACGCCAACAACCCGAAACACAGACCCTCCCAGTGGCCCACACACCTAGTCAGCTTCTTCCTTCACTGGCAATCATGGTGGCATCGGCCTCACACAGTGCCCACGCTGGAGGCAAGGACAGCAGACTTACACACGCATGCATACACACACGCGCACACACACACAATGTACACATCACACGCGTACACACACATACACACAATGCACATACACACAAAGCACACATAAGCATGCACACACATAATGCACACACACGCATGCACACCTGCACACACACAATGCACACGCATGCATGCACACACATACATACACACAATGAACACATGCGCACACACAATGTACACATCACACGCATACACATACACACAATGCACACACACGCACACACAATGTACACATCACACACGTACGCATACAATGCACATACACACAAAGCACACATGCGCGCACGCACACAATGCATACACGTGCACACACATACATACACACAATGCACACGTGCACACACACAATGTACACATCACACGCGTATACATACACACAATGCACATGCGCACAAAGCACACATGCGAGCACACACACAATGCACACATGTGCACACACACCTGCACACACACAATGCACACGTGCACACACATGCATGCACACACATACATACACACAATGCACACATACAAATGCCAAGCACACCGGAGGCCTATGTTTTCTGCTCAGATCACACGGCCACAGTGACAAGAGCATTAAAGACACCTTCCCTTCCCTGGGGGGGCAGCCAGTCTAACTTTCTCAGCCAAGACTCAACCAGGGAAATGTGCAAACCCAAGTCTCCTCGTCTATTCTTTTCATTGGGGGGATGACAGGGGAGGAGGAGAGAGAAAACGCTTTTAGAACGCATCAGGCCCCAGAAGCCCTTCAGTCTAATGGGAAGAGCTCTGGATTCAAGGTCAGGGGAGCTGGGCCCATTCCGGGGGCTGCGCTGCTTCCTAAAGATGTCGCTGCACCTTTCTAGGACTCAGTTTCCTCCTCAGTAAAATGAGGAAGTTGGAAAATCTTGGGGTCTTCAGCCCTATAAGCCAGAGTCCTCCTGGTCAGGGTTATCATATGCCTGTCTCCTCAGAGCATTATCTTCCCAAGCACAAGTCTCTTCACTCAAGGACAAGAAGATGAAAAAATGCACAACCCTGCCCCTACCCCGACACACACATACCAGTGCCTGCCCTGACTGCCCCGGCCACACAGGTCTGAGCACCCGCCCCAAGAACCTCACAGACGGCTCCCATTCTGGTTGGCGCGGGGCAGGGCGGGGTAGGGGGCTCGATTTGAGGCTGCTTCTCACTCACCTGAACTAGGCATGTGGTTCACTCTCGCTGGGTTCAGCAGTTCGACCGGCTGGTCTCGGCCAGAAAGTCCATCTGGAGAAAAGGAAGGAAAAAAAGGATAGTGTCATTATAAGCCACCGAGGTTCATACACTTCCCACTGCTAACGAGAGGTTCAATCAAATCCCACAGAAGCAAGCCTCTGCCCAATTCCAAGGGAGGCTGAGGCGGCCAGGTACCTTGATGGCTGGCCGGGGAGGGGGGGGGGATGGGCAGGCTTGTGGGGCTTGAGCAGACCTGGGAGGCGCTACCCTGCAGCAGGGACTTCCAAGTGTGGAGAGCCCCCCCACCCGACTGGGGTCCCAAGAGGTAAAGGGAGCCAGCCACGGCCACCCAGCTAGTAATGTCAGAAGCGGCCAGCTCAGTAACCACTGATCCACGCGGCCTGGTTAGGGCTGTCAGGCTGCCCAGCTGTGACCGACACAAAAGAAAGAATGATGGACTGGCTCTGCCGCTTACGGTTTACGGAGACCTCCCTGGCGCTCGGCTTCCTTGTCTGTAATATGAAGGGACCGACCTAGACGGCCCGTGGAGCCTTTGCGCTCTAAACCTCCTGTCCTGTGAACCACCTCCCCTGTGCAAAAAGGGTCTGTGACCAGGCACCAAAAACCAGAGCGGACATTCCCCCTCGCCCCATTTCACAACACGTCCAGTGACAACACCACGCGCTCTTAAAAAACCAGACAAATGAGGAAACTGGGGTGTGTCCGTGCGGCCAACGTGGGGAGGAGACGGGCCCGCAGAGAGGCTCAGGGGGATTCCAGAGGACTACCACGTTAGCTGGGACTGGCCTCGAGGCTTCCGAGAAACACAGACCCACTCCCAGCCTCGCACAGACAGACAGGCGTATCACCAGCCCCTCCAAGATCACACCAACGGAGGTCTTCAAGCACATGTGGGACGACTGGGCGCTTTAGGGGCTCTGCAGACTAGATCCATTTTGGATTAGAGTGGACGCCCCATTCAGGTTGGGATTAGACCAGAGGCCTCAGAGATGCCTCTGAGACTGTCGCTAAGGAGATGACCTCCACCCAAGAGAGCGTCTCTGACCACGCCACGGGCCCATCAGAGGGGGCCAGCAGTTGGAGCTGCTCGTGCTTTTCTGCTTCTCCCCAAGCCCTCCCGAGCACTGACCATCGTGGGCAGTGAGGCTCGCATTCTGGGCATATCCTGGCTGCTCCCAGACAAGCTGACCCAGTCCCAGAAGGGTCCCAGCCAAGCAGCCTTGGGAAAGGCACGGTCTCAAAGGCCCGACCACCCCTCTACCACGTGGGCATCTCCCTTCCCTCCAAGGACCCGAACTCCGCAAATAAAGGTCCTTGGCATGTGAGGCACGTTTTCAAGTTTGCCTGCCAAATGCTTCTCAGGCATCATCTTACTTGAGCCCCCCGACATTTTCACTGCTCCCCATTAGTTGGAGCACAGTCTCTTTGCCGGTGGACATCTGTCTATACAGTGGGCAGGTGGGGCCTGACACCCCTGCAGGACCTTGGTGACACCTCCCTGGTGACCCGGGATGAAGCAGGACAGCCTCCCAGCAGCCCCTGGGAAACTGCCCAGAGGCACGCTGGTAAATGTGGAAGAGAATCCATCCTCCTGTAGCAATGTGCTGCTGTGGGAACATTTGCCCCGACCTGCCCAAGGGCCCAGCAGATACAGCTGGGCCTGGAGTCCCGAGGAGCCGAGTTCAAATCCTGCCGCAGGCCCATATTGACTGTGTGACCCTGGGCATCACATCATTTCTCTGAGACTCATCTGCAAAATGAGAGGCAGACATGGGCAACTGCCATGAGAAAACAGATGTGCAAATTATAAAGCCTTGTGAGTGAGTTATTGTGCTGTATTCTCAGACAGCCTCTCTGCTGGGGAGGCTCCCAGACAGCGGGCCTTCCCGCATTTTCTGTCCTACAATCCTCTGAGCCAACACAATGCACGGTTCACAGAAGGTGCTTAATAAATGCTTGTGGGCTGGATGGCATAATCCCTTCTGGTCCTGAGCAGCACGAAGGGGTTTGCAGGCTAACAGCAGTCCACCTCTTAGGATCCAGCTCTAGAATCTTTTCAGTGCAAAGATCCAGAAAGCAGTATCCTGACATCACTGAAACGGGGCGCCTCCCATTCGTTTCCGCCACCTGCCCCTCGCTCCCCTTTTCTGTCGAGGCCTGCTTCTTTCTCTTCCCCCTGTCCAAGGACAATAACTCAGGGACTTTCCTGGGAGCACTGAGCACAGCACACAATCGCTGGGCCATCTCTGCTCATCTGTAACAAACACGAGAACCAGGCCCGTCTGTGGCCACCTAGTTGGGGGTAGACGGGCCTGGCGGAAACCTTGGGTTCCCAGCCAGGGCAGCCGGGCCATGCTTACCAGGGGCCCTGAGTCATTCATTCATGGCGGAAAGCTGAAAGGACGGTGCTGGCGCTGAGGGGGAAGAGCCTCAGGACTTCTGGCAGGGCCCAGGCCAGACACCTTTGCAGTTAACCCTCGACGTGCTGAAATGTTCTTCGCACCCCTGCAGCCCATCCCTGGAGAGCCAGCGCCCAAAAAGACAGTGAGCTCCAAGTCACTGTCCGCGTGCATCCTCAGAGAGTTTTCCCCTAGGAAATTCCATGTGGTGGAATTCGACCACGACATTGGACATCCGTCAAGGACCAAGGACAGAGAGACAACGTCACCGCCCCATCCACAGGGAGCCTGAACTTCACGGAGGAGCACAAAAACATATTGCTAAATAAGGAAACACAAAGTACAGAGATTCAGGAGCAGACTCACGACTTCCCAGGTAGAAAGAGCTCTAACAATTCAGGTCAGCAATTAAAAACCCGAGAAAGCATAAGAATAAATGGACCTTTCCTCAATAGAGTAAGGGACATCTCTCTAAAGTAGGCAGCTGGGGGCGCCATTGTGCACAGAGCCCTAGGCCCGGGGTCAGGAAGACCTGAGTTCAAATGTGGTGTCAGACACTTATTGGCTGTGTGACCCTGGGCAAGTCACTTCACCCTTGTGGCCTCTATCCATCAGAAGAAGGAAATGGCAACTCAGCCTGTATCTTTGCCAAGCAAACCTCATAGACAGTATTGGCATGCAATGGTCCCCAGGGTCACAAAGAGCCGGACAGGACTGAGGATCACCCAACCAAAGCCCAGAGCCAACGTGGTGTGTAACAGAGAAAGGGTGGAGGCCCTTCCAATCAGACCAGGGATAAAGAAAGGATGTCCACGATCACCACTGCCATTGCTCAACACAGGGCTAGAGGAGCTCACAGTACTGACGAGACAAGAAAGATACATCGAGGGGCAGCTAGGTGGCGCAGCGGATAGAGCACTGGCCCTGGATTCAGAAGGACCTGAGTTCAAATCTGGCCTCAGACATGTAACACTAACTAGCTGTGTGACCCTGGGCAAGTCACTTAACCCCATTGCCTAGTCAAAAAAAAAAAGAAAGAAAGAAAGAAAGATACGTCGAGGGAACAAACGGAGGCAGACGAGTGGGCACGGAGACCACCGCCTTGTGCAGATGATCTGACGATCCCTACGGAGAACCAGAAGAGTCGCCCAGCAGAGAAACGGTGACTGCAGCAAAGGAAGAAACGCAGAAGAAATCCAGCCGAGTGGTCGGCATCTCAGGGCTTTGAGCACAGGCCACAGCAACCAGAAGAGGAAAACCCAGACGGATGAATCCCACTCAAGATTGCGACAGACGTCTACAACAGTGAGGAGGCTGGGCTGGTCAGCAGCAAGTAGACACGCGTTAATTAAGCACCCACTGCCCGTCAGGCACTGGAATCAAAGCAGACAGAGAAACGACTTGACTAGAAGGACAAATGACATTAGTCCGTAACAGGAAAAGGGGATGAGGAAGGAGGAGAGAGGCGTTGCACACACACGCGCACACACAAATACATGTAGACACAAGACTGTGGATGCCCTCTGATCCAGCGATCCCACTACTAGGTCTGTTTTCCAGAGATCAAAGAAAAAGAAAAGGAGAAAAACACTGACAGCAGCTCTTCTTGTGGTGGCAAAGAACTGGAAATCGAGGAGACGCTCATCAACCGGAGATTGGCTGACCAAGGCGTGGCACATGATGGTAGTACTAGTGTGTTATAGGAAATGAGGATCAGGGTGCCCTCAGACAAACCTGGAAAGACTTATGTGAACTGATGCAAAGTGAAGGGAGCAGAACCAGGACAACGGTGTACACAGTAACAGCAACATTGTAACAATGATCAACTGTGGATGACCCAGTTATTCTCAGCAATACAACGGTCCAAGACAATTATGAAAAACGCTATCTGTCTCCAGAAAAAGAACTGATGGAGTCTGTTTATTTCTTTTCTTCCAACTTGTATCTTTTTTCCCTTTCTTGTTCTAAATTTAAATAGCATTTTATTTTTTTCCAATTACAGGTAAAGACAATTTTTCAACATTCATTTTTTGAAGGATTTTGAGTTTCAAATTTTTCTCCCTCCCTCTCTCCCCTCACTCCTCCCCAAGACAGCAAGCAATCTGATACAGGTTACACGTATGCAATCGTGCAAAACGTATTTCCTCATTAGTCATGTTGTGAAAGAAGAAACAGAACAAAAAGAAAAAAAAAACAAAAAACAAAAACAAAAAAAGTGAAAACACGCTCTGCATTCAGACTGAACTGATAGCATACTTTTTTTAAATTTTTATTGTTTTATTTTGTTTGTGCTTTCTTTTGCAACATGGCTAATATGGAAATATGTGTAACTGATATCAAATTGCCTATCTTCTCAAGGATTCTCAAGGAGGGGGTAGAATTTAGAACAAAAAATATTTTAAGTGATTGTTCAAATAAAGTACAATTATTTTTACAAAGTAAATACAAAGTAATTGGGGTGAGGAGACTAGCATATGGGGGAAATCAGGAGAGAGCTCATGTAGGGGGAGTGTCCGAGCCGTACTTCGGGGGGCAGCCTGGGAAAAGGCACAGAGACAGAAGGCCAAATCAGGAAGAGAGTTACGACCATCATCATTAGGCTTTCATTCTATTACACTCAAGCATTAAGAA